AGATAGCTTGTGGAGTCTCCATCCTTGGAGATGTTCAGAAGCCGTCTGGACACAATCCTGGGCAACATGCTGTAGGTGACCCTGCTAGTGCAGGGGGGTTGGACAAGATGGTCTCCAGAGATCCCTTCCAACCTCAACCATTCTATGGTTCTCTGATTCAGACTGTCAGACAGGCAAGGAGTGGCTGTGAGGCTGCATGCCATCTTTGAATTCTCTCTCTGCCCCTGCCACCAGAGTTTCTATGTGATGCTGAGCAAATCACGTAAACTGACACAGTCTCACTGAGTCACTCACTGTGTGTTACTACTTTTCTTAATATCCAAACTACGAAACCTGTGACCAGACCCAAAGCTGTGTAAAGCTTTCACCACTGCAAAAAGAATTAATGAGAACTATGCTTTAAGTGTGTGCCATAAAAACGTTAAGTATACTTGACAGTCAAGGCTGTACAGATAGGTACCCAGCATTAGTCTCAGTCTCTCTCTTTTTTCCACTTTCTTATATGAAAATAATGTCACCTAATCTTGCTAAGATTGTGAAAAAGAGTTTCATTAACGTTTGCAAGGCAGTAGCATGCTATGAGATCACCATATAAATAACCCAGGGTTTTTTTTTAAATTTGATGAGTGGCAAATAAAATGTGGAGTCACACCGAATAAGGAGGATAAGAAGAATAAATTAAACAACTATCTGTTTTGAAAGAGGCAGAAGGCCTGCAGAAAAAGATAGCATGGTTATATAATCAAGGACTGTATCCCAATACAGGTATGCAAGAGGAAATGAGTAAAATTGTATGGACTGCCTTAATACAAACTTTTCTTAACTCCTGAGTTCTTAAATTTGTAACAGTAGCTTTTTAAAAATGTTTTTGTAGTTATTAAAGGCTCAAAGAGTTGTTCCTAATATTGCTCATATAGCTCCCTGCTCAAGAGACGCTAAAGCAGCGATCTTGCTGTACAGTGCAAACATTCATAACAATACAGGGACAGATCTAAGCAACTAATTCTCATTGATTTCTGTAGAAGAGAAGATCCTGAGATGGTATCCAGTACATTTAATGTAGGTACCTAACTTTCATCTAGGTTTTAGGTACCTACTGAAGTAGTCTTCCTGAAGGATGTACTTTTCCTAGTATAGATTAGGGAGATAAACAGATCCCTCTCTTTCAGGGAGAGATTCTGCTGGTTTAATTTTGGTGCCCGCGCTTATGCTGAAGGTATTTTTTTCTGCAAGCCCGTCAAGGCATCTTTCTCTCTTTACTGATTATGGAGGGAACATAAGCACTTTGGCAGGAAAGACTGAGTATGCACCTGAAACACAAGCTTGAGTTGGTGCCTGTGTAAAATAGCCTGGACATTCCCTTTGTTTCAGATCTTAAAGGGGATTCAGATGTATTTGTGTAAGCATGTGTATGAGATCCGGTTAAGGGAACAAAAATACCTGTGAGAGCTGAAAAAATTAGAAAATAATGTTATTTCAAAATGATTGTCAGTGCTGCAAACCTTTTCCTTGTGAATAGCTCCTTAGTAGTGCCATTGCAGTCAGTGATGAATTATGCACCTAAGCTAGAATCCTATTTATCTTCCATAGCAAAACGCAAATTACTTTTATTTCTGCAAGTCTGACCCTGCAGAAAATCTTCTGTTCTTCCTCTTATTTAAATTAATGTAAAATCAAGTTCTTAGGGTAGTGATCAAACAGCCTATGGGGAAAGTGTACAGTAATTACGCATTATTATTCAGTTCAACCTACTTAGTGATAACGTAACACAAGTTATCTGCATTTTGAAATGAAACTAGTAAACAAAAATAATTTTATGCTAAACACAAATCTCATGTCTTAATCTTCATTCTGTTTTGTTTGCTTAAGCTCCTTGTTAGGGCAGCATCTGAAAACTTTACAGTCTTTGCTATTTAACTCAGAATATTCCTGTAAGCTAAGGAAATAATAAAATCTCCATCTCACAGAGTTGGAAGTAAAACATGAATAAGATAACCCCAGCTCTGTTAAAGGACCGCGATGCATGAAAGTTAGGGGCTTCAATTTCAAGCTTTTAGGTGCTAGGCCTCAGATTGAACTCTGAATCAAATTCCTTACATAGTAAATGAGGGAGACACCTCAGAATGTGTTATCTGAAACAGCCGGCAAGGTGACTGAAGTATCACAGCTTTAAAGTCGTATGCAGTAGACCTCTGATAACCAAGAGAGGCCAGGGTAGGTCTAAGATGGTACCTCTAAGGCTCCTTCAGGGATTCTGCATTAAAAGGTTGTTGGGTGAAAGACGGAAGCAGATCCAGCTCCTAGGAGTTTGTCTTCCTAATGAAGACACTGCCTGGTTACTTTTCACTCCTTCATTTTCTTTCATAGTCTTTTCACATAGAATTTTAAGCTCTTTTGTGAAAAATGGCACCTACTCAGTACGAAGGATACAGCTACCTCCTGCCTCTTTTGATCAGAAAAGCCTGTAACTAGGTATTTAGGGTATTCTCTTGGGCCGTGTAAGCTTGAATTTCTTCAGAGAGTAGAAGAAGCTAAACCCAGGTCTCCTGTGTTTTGGGCAAGTGAACTAATAACTATCTATTCGGTGAAAGAGCAAAAGAAGATATGTTGTAAAAGGAAATATCAGCACCAACTGCCCTTTTTGTGGAGCTGCTCAGCGTTTATAGATTGCTTGCATGCTTTGAGAATGCCTGTCACATCAAAGCATTTGAAAGACTTGGGCAAAAGCACAGGTAGTTTCTGAACTGTGTTCAAACTTAAGGGTGATCTTAGTGTTGACCCATGCAGCCCTGTTGAGTCTAGAGCCATTCTAGACAGGCAGAGAGGCACCCAGGGAAACTTTAAGGGCAAAATAAAACCCATCTTCAACATTAGGCAGGTGGCAAATGAAAATTTGCAGTATTGTAGTTTTGGGGCTTTGATACCTGTGCTCCATCTCAGAGGCAGTTTAAATGCCTTTTCTGCATTTACCAAAAGATATACATTGTAATGGGGTAAGCTGAACTTAGATTTTTCTTGTATATACCTGTTGAATCACCTTTTTCTCTTTCCTTTTGTTGTCCTATCCCTTAGTAGGAACACATTTAGCCACTGCCAAACAGAGTGATTTTTTGCATACCTGCTGTCTCATTTTTTTTCCCCCCCTCTGCTTTGCAGATACGGTCTACTGTGGCACGAAGGCAATTATGCAAAATTGTGTATGAAGGTTTAGTGATACAAAACAGTGTTAATTACAATTCTAATTGTGATTCTTACCATTGTTCCATAAACTAAAGGTTTCAAGGTGTTAGAATTGGGATCTCTGTGGTTAATCTTTATTTTATTAAAAGATATATTTAGTTTAACAGATGGGGTACAGCTAATACATGCCATTGGAAGGAAGCAACAACTAGACACAGGGACTTGGAGGAGTTCAGATAATAGTTTATATGCTTTCAGATAGTGGTTGAGAACTCTTGCTTTATTACATTTCTCACTAGGTTACATTGTGGTATCTTTCTCACATTAGAAATGGTAACTGTGTATGACTGTGTGCTAGGTCTGTAATATGACAATATGTAATATGTATGTAATATGGTAAAGATAGACCTGTATTAGTTGAAAACAAAGGAAAACAATGTGTCTGAATACCCAAATTAAAGAGATAGTGAGTTAAAACAGAGTTGACACATAGAGTGTATTGAGGTTTGATATCTGGTTTCCACTTGGGTAACTGAACTGGTTCAGGAGATGAGCGATAAAGGAACTTTTGGTAATGATTTCACTGAAGGTAAAAATCCCATTGGCTTTTCTAATCCAGAATAGAGCATTTTAAAACATTTCAAAATTGATATTTGTGCTTCATATTTGCCTTGGTATTTTCAGCTTTCTGCCCTACTGCTTTTCTCAGAATCCTGGGTGGGATTTAATCCTACCGCAGAAAGTATTAGGGGATCTGATATTATTATTAGGACTGGCATTTTGCAGAGTATTGTTTGTATCAGGTAGGTCATTATGTATTTCAGGGAGCAGGAGCAGACCTTCTGCCACAGGCGTTGGAGATTCAGCAGGCACTTCTTCCCATTGTTGGCTGCATCCCTCAGACTATGTATGAGGAAGAAGTATGAAAAGTTGCCCTCCTTTCTATGCCTTTCTTGGTTAACAGATGTCATTAGCTGTATGTCATCTTTGCAGTAAGGAGATATTAAGAGCTGTAAGGATGGGGAATAGCAAAGAAATAATCTTGTGGTGCTTTCTGCTACCTTGTTCATCTGAACAGGAGCTGGTCGCGTCTGAGTACTGAATTACGAAGGTCACTTCTGTTCAGTTTGCTCTATGCAGTCGGATGTGTGAGTTGTTTTGTACTGAACACGTCAGTATGTGACTTGTATAAACAGCTTTAATTTACTGCTTTCTGAAAACAGAGGCCTGGAGCAGTCATGAAGGGTTTCAGGAATGTTAATTGTTTGTGTACAGGAATGAGCTTATAAATGCTTGTTTTGCAGTCTTGTGTTGCTCATTGAGGCTAACTATGTCACTGGCAGAGAAGAGAAGGGAGAATGATTATTTTTTTTTCTTCACAGTCTATTGGTACTTTCAGGGCTCGATATAATGTGCCTTTAACAAACCGTGAACTTCTCTCCTACTGAGCCACTGCACCCTGCTTACATTCAGAATAGGCAGAGAACCATTATACTAATCCACTCTACCATCATATCTCTAGCAAACACATGTAAGTGATCGCTTTGAATATTTATTTTGATGCAAGGAGTGTTAGGTCTTTTATTTGGCAACACAAACAAACAGAAGATTGTAACTTTTCTCAACCTTATAACCTTAATTGTGTAAGTTCTGTATTTTCAGCTACAACGTGTTTTGACAAATGTACAACAGTCATATTTGGCTTTCAGAGAATGACCCTGCCGCCTCACAGCAGCCTTAGAGTAGTTCAGCTCTGCTGTGAGGATAGTTTTAAAATGTAGAAGCTGAAATGATCAAACTTTCACTTTGTTTTTTAACAGGTACGATTATATGCAAGGCCTGATGCAATCCGAAGAGGATCAGGGGACTATGCTCTAAATATCACAAGGAGACTCATTGAATTTTATGAAGATTATTTTAAAGTGCCCTATTCCCTGCCAAAATTAGGTAAGGTTTCCCCTCGAACATGAAGCTTACCCAGAGACTGGGAAATTAAGTTTTAAAGAAAACTTAAGACTGGGAAGTTTTCAAAGGAAGGAATGTTTTAGTTATTTGAGAAGGATCAGTAAGCAAGGAATTTTTCATCTTTCCTGCGGAGGAACAGAAACCAAGCTGTTACTTCTCCAGCCTTTCACTGAAAGGAGCAGCAGGCAGACAATACTTAAATTTATTAGGCGGGAAGAGAACTTTGACTGATTAGTTTCCTTTTTTCCGATACTTATTATGTTGCGCCTCACTTTCATTAGCTAATATTCATAACTTGATGGCTCAGCTTTAGATGGAGAACAGAAGTGAAAATATCTGTGCAAAGTGGGAACCTATAATGTTGTAGGGCACTATTTGTTATGCTGGTTTGTGCGGTTTATTAATTACGATTAATATGTGCTTAATTATGTTGTTGCTTATGGAGGAGAATGGCCACGAACTCGTTTTGCTGCTCAAGTGACCTAAACATAAGAGTTGTCAGTTTCTGTTATTTTTTTTTTTAAATAGTTTCTTCACTCTTCCCTTTCACCACAGTCATTTGCTCTGCTACGCACTGGATTATTTCATACCATATTATTATACCCTCCCTCCTTAGGAGCATGTTTGATCAAGATCCATAAAAGCCTATTGCTTAGCAGCAAGAAGAAAGCTTGTTTTTGATCAGGAGTGTTGGAGTTGGAACCACAGGTGATCCTCCCAGGAGCTCAGGGCCTATTTCATTAAATTCTTTGCCTGCTGAGTAACTTTATTAGTCTTACAGCTAGCGGTGTAGGAGATAGATAAAGTAATTGATGTTGCTAGGTGAGGGTGTTGCATGCATTTTTTACAAGACTGTTGTGGCATTTGTTTCTTGTCCTCTTTAAATGGTGAGTTACAGGCAGTGTTCTCCTGGAGACATAGCAGAAGGATTTAAACATGGCATGCACATCAGACTGTGTATCCTTTCATACCTGGCTTCAGCTATGTAGTGATGATTTCATACTGTAAGTTATATACTCACCGATGCCAAAAATATAAAAAGGAAAAAAATAGTCAAAATCTTTCCTGTGAAAAAGGATGAGCAATGGGACTCCGATCATTACTTCAGGTAGTATCCTGTGGATGCCAGGTAACAGCAGGCAGTACTGAGTGTTTCTGTTTCAGAATACCTTTCATAATTGCAGCATATGACCTTTCAACTCCACATGTTTTGTGGGTTATCATTACACTGTGACATACTTTTTAAAAATATCTCTGAGGAGACAAATATGTTCCAATTTGTTTCTATTGAGAATAGAACAGGAGGAATAGCCACAAATCAAATTGTACTTTTTCATAAACTATTTGTAGAAAAAATTATTATGTTAATGCTGCTATTACTACTGTAATAAATACTATTTCGTTTATAAAATTTGAAAACTGTTGGTTATCCTGTAGTGATACTATAGGAAATATTGCGAAGTTTCTTATCCTATAATGAAGTTAACTTTACATGACTGAACAGTTTTCAAATTACTCTGTACTTTCGATAGGACTTACAAGAACATCATATTTAATGTAAATATAATATGGGCAATTTCAAAACTGTTCCAATGACATAAATATTTTTGAAAATGTCACTTGTATAGACCACTGGGATCTTTGGCTGCTGTTCAACAGAACACTGACATTACCAGCTTTGAGCATATAGTAGTGTCTATAACCTGAAGGAATGCTGAAAAAAAATTCTTTGGCGAGGGGGAATGGAAGGTTAGGGACAATACTCTAGCAGATGAATAGAAGTGCTGAAAATGAACGCACTGTAGTCTTTCTGCTGTAGCGGTGCTGAGGTGGTTTTGCAGTAGTGTTAAAGAATTTTCCAGACATCCATCTGAGGAGCAGAACAAGAGGCAAAACAGCATTAGCTACAGCTGTGGAAGGAATCAGGAGACTATATTGGTATAGAAAGCACACTTGTGCTTTCCAAAGCGAAGAACGAGTTTATCTTAGGACTGTCACCTGATATATCGTTGTTGTCATCACCGCAGAGGATTGTATATTTCATTAAGGTTTTAAGAAAAATCAGATTTTTGGGAGGAGATTTGAGAAATTTTTATTTATAAAGGAAATGGGAAATATCTTCTAGTGGGAGTAAAAATTGAAGGATATCCTGTAAAAAGCTTTTTAAAGACAAAAACCAGTTTTGTAGGAAATGCTCTGTTTAAGCATAGATGCTATATAAGATTTTTCATATTTTGATTTTAAATATATATCATCTAGTTCAGAAAAGAGTCAGCTGTCACAAATGTAATTCTTTTGGTTGAAAGGCACACTTATTTTTTCAAAAGAATCTTCTTGCAGAAATACTGTCCAGCTTACTGTGCAGGTGCTGTATAAATCAATGACTGATATGTTGTTAGTGTCAATGCTGTATGCTGCTGCTCATTCTTTTGTTCCATCGCTGACTCTGTGTGTGTATGGCGCACTGTTCTGTGCTGTCTTCACATTCCTGAGGTAGTTAAATTTCCTAGGGTCTTAGGCTCTTTGCTTTAGTGGGGATATGGTAGTCAACTGAATCATGGTTTGGTAAGGGACCTGTGGCCCTTGGTGAAGCACTGCCATTGTCTACATGGTCATCTATTTTAACTCTCTATATGATGCATATTCAAGGCATAAGGTGCGTATTTAGGCTACCACTGTGCTGCTATATCGGAGGGACTTATGCTCATTTGTTCACTTGCTGTGTCACTGATGTCCATTTTGGTGGATATTTGGCAACTGAAACTAGTGCTGGTCATCTGAGATTGTCATAAATCATCTAGGGTTCTTTATAGGAACCACTATGTCCTGACATTCTTGGCTATTAGACTGTTTTTGACCAGGCTTTTTTCCTTTACACGTACACATTCAGATATCTGCAGTTGTGGTCTGTTGTGGGCTCCTCTGGCTTCTTGGCAGCCTTTGTTAGTGTGTGTTAGCACACTTTGAAAGTGTGGAGAATCTAAGGGAACTGTTTGGCCATACGATGACTACTTTTTTTGGGACTAACGTGGCCTGTGCTAGCTTTTAAATATACTGGAGCAGTAGATTTGTCTGCCAAGTGTTGTGAATTCTAGCTATGAATGTGAATTGGGGATTTTCTCATGTGAATAACCAATTTCCACACTCAAAAGTTCTACTTAGCTTGTAGGCATGTACATTTTTCCACATCATACTCTGAACTGGAAGGTGCTTGTGTGGGGTTTTAAACTAACAATTCTTGTATGAATTTCATTTCTGAAAAATAAGTCAGGTCTTTAAAAAAGCAGATTATTTCTCCAAGTCTATAATGTTATTGTAAGCACTAGTTTAAATCAGGAGAGGGTAAGGGATTGGGCTTTATTTAATTCTGAAAAGATGTGCAGTAGAGTTTTTAATTGTGTTTCTATGGCTGGTGAATACGAAAGACTTTTCTGTATTTGTAGCACATATTTAATTTTAATCCAGTTTGCAATATACAAAACCTTTTCTTCGTATGTGTAGAGCTTTTTCTTACAAGGATCATCGAACCATGGAACAGTTTCCCTCTGGAGAACGATTAAATACGCTAGAACTCTTCACACTCAGAAAGTTGCGTCTCTAAGTTGTGAATGGTAAGGAGTGGAGGGGTTGACTGTATGTAAACATACTGTCTCTTGCAGTCAAGAATAAAGGGCCATCCGGTGAGGTTAGCAGGAGACAGGTTCAGTGAAAACAAAAAGATATCAATCTTCCTACAACAGGTTGTAAATCTGTGAAACTCCTTGTCAAAAGACCTTCTAGGTGCAAAAGGTTTCCATGGGTTCAAGGGGAGATATGGACAAGTACTTGGAAAAGAGTTCCATTGGAGGAAATTCCCTAGTTTAAAAATAGAGGCTGGAAAATACTTGAGAGAGTACTATATATCCTTCCCAGTTCTTGCTCTTTCCTGGACGCCTGCTTATGGCTCCTGCTGGAGAGCAGGATGCTGAGCTAGAGGTCCTTTTGTCTGAACTGATAGGTCTGTTCTTGTGTTCATGGTCTTCTGATTTCTGCAGTGTTTCCATTAAAGGGCTATGGAATATCTTTACAGGAATACTCTGTGTACTGAAACTGGGAAACTGTAACGTTTTAGTTATGACAGTCTGTCAAATCTTTGCGTGAGATGCATAAATGAGTTATTTTGTGTGAAGATTTTTTGGTTTCTGGGTCTCAGTTTTCCTGAACAAAAGAACTTAAGCGTCCCAAGCTTTAGATGCAGTGCCTAGCTCAGAGGCAGTTTGCTCAGATTCATCCAATCCTTATACGCTCAACTGGGATGTCTAAATTAACAAGCTGGTTGCCGTAGGTTCCTTAAATCATCAGTGGAGAAAAGCTCTTCCTGAGGATAATTTCTCATATGTCTTATGCGGACAGAGTCTCCCTCTGGAGCTGCCTAGGTAAAAGAAAAAGTGCGTTATTAACCCCTGAGCTTAATTTAAGTGTGTTACAAGATTAGGATTTCACAACATGGGGGACCTAGGAAGGTTTCTCAGCCGTGCATGCTGCGGTGATGGAGAGCTGGGAGTAGGGTTGGGGAGAATGTAGCTTTAGGTTGGGCTCTTCTAGTTTTGGTTTAGAGTAGGCTCTTTTTATTTTCCTTGACAGTGTCCTGAAAGGTGGTAATATGAACAACTGGTGAATCCACTTTGGGACATAGCTGTGTATGTTATAGAAGGGTGAAAATATATCCCCTTGCCATTTAGTTTTGAGGCCAATGGAGATGAAACAGTATTTCATTTATAAATACTACAATGTGTGTGAGCACTATGATGTTAAAAAAAAATCTAAAAAAATATTTTTTTCCAGACTTTGAGAAGTCTCTTTTATTGTAGGATTGCTATATAGCAAACTTTGGGGTTATACCTGATACAATTTATACTTTTTTCTTACAGGCATGTTTAAGGTACTAATTACCGCACATACTTGTTAGTGCCAAAATGATACATTCTTGTCTTCATTATGCA